AAGGACTTCGTCTATGCCATGCATATCCAGTTTCTCTTTAGATATACCCCAGGTGAGACCCTTATCTGGTTCAAGTACTTTTCAGCCACTCTGATGGAAATAAAAAGCATACATTTCCTTTCCTTCTATTTCCATAACAGGTTTATGGGGTGCCTACAAGTATAACCTAGGTCAATCTAAAAATAGACATTGCTAAACAGATCATTTGCCTGTTGCAATTCATGTTTTCATAGATCTCATGCCAGTGAAAATGCTATCACAAAATAAAGTCACAGAATGGCTTGGGTTGGAAGGGACCATGAAGTGCATTCAGTTCCAACACCCCTGCCATGGGCAGGGACACCTCCCACTAGACCAGGTTGCCCAAAGCTCCATCCAACCTGGCCTTGAACACTTCCAGTGATGGGGCAGCCACAGCTTCTCTGGGCAACCTGTGCCAGTGTCTCACCACCCTCATAGTGAAGAATTTCTTACAAATATCTCATTTAAATCGACCCTCTTTCAGTTTGTACTCTGTGATAAAGAGTCCATTTTTCCTGTGGGACCCTTTAATTACTGAAAGGCAGCTATAACATCTCCATAGAGCCTTCTTTTCTTCAAGCTGAACAACCTCAACTTTTAGTCTGTCTTCAAAGGAGAGGTATTCAAGCCCCCTGATTATCTATGTAGCCTGCTCTGGACTCACTTGAGCAGGTCCATATCCTTCTTGTGCTGGGGGCCCTCAAGCTGGACAGAGTACTCCAGGTAGGGTCTCTAAAGATCAGAGTAGAGGAGGAAAAATCACCTTTCTCCACCTGCTGGTCATACTTCTTTTGATGCAGCACAGTATGCAGTTGACTTTCTGAGCTGTGAGTCCACGCTGCCAGTTCATGTTCAGTTTTTCATCCATCAGTACCCAAAATTCTTTCTCCACAGGGTAGAAGACGTCTTTGAATCCATGTTTGTGATTGCCCTGACCCAGGTGCAGGACCTTGCACTCAATCTTGTTGAACTACATGAAGTTTGCATTGGTCCACCTCTCAAGCCTGTTTGGGTCCCTCTGGATGGCATCACTTCCTTCTAGAGGATCAACCACACCACTCAACCTGGTGTCACTGCCAACTTGCTGAGGGTGCACTCAATCCCACTGTCCATGACCCCAACAAAGACAACACTGGACCCTAAATGGACCCCTGAGGGCCACCATTCATAACTGGTATCCACCTGGTCACTGAGCAATTGACTACAACTCTGAATGTGACCATCCAGCCAGTTCTTTATCCCTTTAGTGGTCCACCTGTGAAATTAATGTCTCTCCATTTTAGAGACAAGAATGTTGTGTGGGGCAATATCAGATAGTTTGCACAATATTATCAATTGAGCTGAATTCCACACAAATGTGCTTTATCTAATGCCCTTATTTATCAAGCTTAGAGATCAAAGCAAATATTTGTTGCATTCACTTTTATAAGAATGCTTAGGAAGATTCAGTCCTTTACAACTCTCTCAAGTGTTTTTTTCAGGATAACCTAGGAAGATATGCATGAGAAGACAACTGCTATTCTAACAAATAAGAGTGATTTTTTTTCCCTCTTCTATTTTCTGAATTTAAGAACACAACAATATTAAATTTGTATCTCAGGCAAACCAAGGTATTTGCATTTAGTTTATAGATTGGTGGATAGACAGATGTAGAGTTCTATCTGTGTATTTGCAGTATCATATAAATTTTATTCAAGTAACTAAGAATTAAGAAAGAAATCCTTTTCCTTAGTCTTATCAAGAAGACGCCATATTTACCAAACTAATAGCTCCTTATTAACATGAAAGAAACTGAAGACATAAAAGTGTTAATCATCTTCACAGATGACTACAATGAAAATACGACTAAAGCACCAAGTGACAGCCAGGAAATTAGCTTTCTAAAGGCATACAACAATCTGTAGACTTCCTCAAGGTAAAATTCTTCCATATACCGGAAATTAAAAAATTTCTGTGTTGCTGCATTTCTTTCTTCTCTATTGGCTGCTGACAGCATCTTCTTTCTCTCCATTTCAGACTCAAGTCTTGGGGTTGCCATCTAACCCTCTTTCTTACTCATGTGGCTGTGTTATTGCCTAGTTTCACTGCTTCCTATTCCACAACAATGCTGAATTCCTCCCTCTATTTCAACAAAACAGCCACATTCAGTTTTAGTTTATTGACACACTCTGACTTTACTCACAAGATTTTCTATAGCCTGCTTGAAAATATCCTCCCTTTTAGTTTATCCCAAATATAAATGTCAGTATTGTTGGCCCCTATTTTAAATCAGTAGCAAATTGAGTTCCTTTATGCTCTATACCCAATCACTGAATCTTCTCTCCCAATCTATCCTTGTCACATACATTCCCTCCATATCACTGTTACTAACCATCTCATCTTGTGATATTTTTCAGGGGGCTTTCAGTCAGATCTTCTTCAAATCAAAGCATTTCAAACTTAAAAATATCAAACACAAAAAAATACATAGAAAGTCATCATTAACACCCCAGGGTTGAACAGTCAATCATTATTAGAAAGTGGAAACGAATTTGTTGCCTAAAGTACTCCATCTTAAGCATATACATGGATCCTTAAAAGAATTTAAAAGCCCTGAACTCTGTTAGAAGTATAATTTAAAACTTGCAGCTGAAGTCTTACAGACAGTTAAACTTCTTTATTATTGTAGAAGCTTAGATTTTTTAAGGGATTCAAAGTGCCATCTATTCCAGACTTAACATGTGTCTCAGCCTGGGCTGTCACCACCATCCTTGTATTAGTTACTGCAAAGCTGTCTTGAAAGTTCAGAAGCAGTGATTGCCTCATAATCAGAAACTTTGCCAATACTGTTGAACTATTTTTGCTTGCTAAATTTAAGAGACAAGACTATCAGAAAAATCCTAAATTAGCAACAGAATTCATGTATTTTGCTGGGTTTATTGCTGAAGAAGCTTATGAAATTTCTACAGTAGTCTTTGAAAAGCATATATGAATTACAATAAATCTATGTAAAAAGTACCCTCTACCTTCTCTTTTTTGACTTTCCCCAGTATTTTGTTGTAGAACATGTCTTAGCTAGAACTAAAATACAGACCTAAAAGACCCAAGATATCTTCCTTTTTTCGGTGTTAATAGATTGTATAGATTTAAATTCCTATTCTGTATGGAGATGAACTTTCCCATCTATAAAACCACCAATACCTCAAATATGTGCTAACTAATAACATTGTAGTATTTTAGATGCTGTAGTCTTAAAACATACGAACTGCATTAAACAGAATACCCTGGAGTTCTGCTTCTACCTTTAATGTGGTTAACTACCTGTGCGTATCTGACATCCAGCCTTTGATGCAAAATATGCCTTCATTCTGATGGTTTTACCTAGATTATCTTTTTATGCTTCCTGTCAGTCACAAGTATGCAAAACAGTGGATTGTCTTGGTTTAGCCTGCCATAGTAAAGCCATTATAACTGCATATCTGTATCACAATGTGGTAGCAATACAGTAATCAATACAACTGGAAATAGGAGGGTTAATTTTCCCTATAATCATATCACAGTCAAATGGAAATGGAGAAAAAAAATAAAAAGGTGTAATTGAGCTTCCTTTCATACTACTTTACTCACACTATACCTCTACCTCTGATTCCTAATACTATTAATTCCTTTGGAAAGTTTTCTCACATACCAACAAATACTATGTCTATTCTACTGTATCCTCTTCTGATCTTCTAGACAGTCCTTATATCCTACACCAACACTAGCCTGTCACAGTCCCTGACATTCACTTTGCTTGTGATGGAAGATGCATCACTCTGCAAGTTCTTCAGGGAACAATGTATCTTAAAGAGCTTTTACTAATTTTGGTAAGGACAGGATTTTTCATGACACAGCAATCAAAACAGAAAAGAAAAATAAGAGGGAATCTATTTTGAAAAGGTAATAGCCCACTAACTAACACATGCAACCAGTAAACGGAATATGAAAGCATGAATTCCTGTGAGAATATAACTTTGTAATATAGCCCTGCCATTACTATTATCTGGCCATAACCATTGTACTGAACTTATAGGGTCTCAGAACTGGGGTTTGATAAGCTTTCCTCTATCTGAAGGCATGTTGACCAGCTTGTAGAGTTTTGCTTTATTTGGTTCAGCTGTGACAGCAACTTTTTAACTGATCAGGCCTCTACGACTATTTTGTTTTATCTTTGTAGAGTAATTCCAAAACCCACAGCTATAAATAACTCACAAACGGTCAGTTAAAGAGGGGCAGACAGGAAGCAGGAGAAAAGTGGGTTTAGGAGCAACAAAAATGACAAAGAAATAATATCTAACATATGTAAAAGGCACCACATATAGAAAATTTGGAGCTCTAGGCTAATGAAAAAAAGAGATGTAAAGCATGCTATTAAACATATAAAAAATTATTCAAATTGGATCCTAGATTGAACAAGAAGCTAATATTAACAACATGATAACATTCCCAAAATGGGATGTCAGAAGCTGACAGCTTACAGTGTTACTCTCACCAGCAGCCTAAAGCTACAGACCTGTGTGCATCAAACCTTCATGGATCTTCATCATTAGATAGATGCACCAGACAGTCATGGGGTTTTTTACCACTCATTTTCAAGCTTAAGTGCATGATGTTTGTTCTTAAATTTATTTTGTCTAAATTGCCCTAGAATGTTAACAATAAATAACAAAAAAACTCAGGTTTTCATTGTGTGATTGGTGATGCTAGAATCTGAACTGAATTAATCATAATGTTCAGCTAGTTGTATATATGTATATATGATTCTACAAAGCAAGGAATTCTGGAAATTGCTTATAATTAAACGTATTTATATGAAGTAGTATTTTCATTTTCATCATACAGTAGCACATCATGAAACAAAAATGCTTTGCTAAAACCTCACCTTAATTTCATGTACAATATTACTATTATAAAAGTGAAGAAAAAAAGTATATAAGAACTGCTAGTACAAAATCATTTACCTTTATGTCTATAGCCAGACTGATAGCGTGCATAGCATCCACAAGTATCAAAGAGTTGTGCAGAAACTGTTCAGGAGTTCTTGGCTTAGTATACATCCTTACAAAGTGAGTAGCAATCTAGAGAAGACAGAAATCAAACTCTTGATCTTCCACTAGGCAAAATTACTATGTTTGTATTTTCAGTCTTTCAACAACCCATAAAATCTAAATTTTTAACTAAAATTTAAATAACTGATACTGAAATAACCACTGAGTAAACCTGAAGGCCTGAATAAACCCACTTACATTTATAAATTGTATAAAAATTGCACAATATTAAGAAAAGTCCTTACCAAATATGGACAATAAGCTGCCAGCTGTGCTGCTAATACCAGACTATCTAGAAGATCTCGGTCAAAATTTACTATCCATCTCATTGGTGGTACTTCACCTGATTTAAAACCAGAGCAAGGTGAATTAGACTCTTCTCCCATGGGAAGCTTAATTTTATTCTACATAGATATTATGACAATTTGAAATGACTGAGTAGAGGAAAGAATAGAAAAAGGAAACATCCATTCACATGTAGAACTTCCCAGGCATAATTGTCTTCCAGAGCCATTGCTGAAAACATGAAAAATCTCACCTAGAATATTGTAACTATTAATCATACACTCTGATGTAGCATGAAAAAGTTATCACAAGGGAAGAGAAAGCAGGTAAACTAAACCTCACAGATTAGGAACCTAAACATGTAAATTATTTTTATAGGTATAACATTTGTAGGGCTACTGAAACTCACAAAAATATGCATGAATCCTTTAAAGATGCAATGTTTAAGCAGATAAGGAAAAGGTTCTTGATTTACTTTAAGGTCATATTAAGTTATTTGTCACAAATGCAATACAAAGGAAAGCTAACAGCTCAGTTCCTGCAGCATAGATCACTACTTCTACGATTGTGTTCCAAAAGCCTATGCCTCAGGTTAGATTATTTTTTACATTTCTGTTTTTATTTAAAATAAAATTTATTTAGAAAGTAAATAGTTTATTTCTTAGTATTTCTTATTTAAAGAGTTCTATATCTTAAATATTTAACATGGCATTTAGACAACAGACTTGTGTTCTTAATCATCATATCAAACTATAGAAGGAATACAGTCATCTGAAAAATCTCAACCTTAGGTATTCTCTAAAAAAAAAGTTATTGACATACCAACAACTCAATGCTTTAAATCACTGTCTATACCAATTTACCAGCACTTTGCTCTACAGATAATACACACTCTGTGAAGCATGAACACACAGAAGCTGATCCTTTTTTAAGGACAGCAATCTTGTCACAAATATTCAAATGCTGAGTCATGTCTTCTCTCATGTTATTTGTAGTTTTCTTCCAATTACTATTGCAAACATACTCATTGCTCAATTTCCTTTGTTTTCATTACTGTCTCAGGTCCAAGCTCCTAAATTTAGGGAACCCTTTGGACTTCAGCCACTGACAAAGTTTTTTCAGATAGACCGGGATCATGCTTGCTCATATAGGACAAATTATATAGGTTTGATTTCACTATACATCCAGAGAGTGCATTGTTAACCAAGTCTGAAGCTTCCTAAATTGAAAAGAAAAAAAAAAGGAAAACAAACAAACTTATACACTACAGAATCTGAGATGAGCAAAAATCTCCTACAAATTATAAATACATAATCTTAACGTAAAAATAAAAAGAAATGTTCTTTTCTTAAAAATTGCTACCCTTAAAAGATAAAAAAAGTTTGTAACACTGAACTGTTATCATAGCAATAACAGTATTCAGACCACTATCTTCATTAGCAAAAGAAGAATTTGGAAACACCACTAGTTGACATAGAAATAATTCAAAAGAATGGAGGCATTAAGTGTTTCATCAGGTTACACATTTCAGATCCTTATTACAAGTCTGTCCTTTTTAACAGCTTCATTCTATAAGACCCAACACATGTAAGCAGGGACACAAATCACGTACATTTTAAAGGCCTCTACCTTTACAGAAATGATACAATAACCAAAATGAAAGTTCAAGAAAGAGAAGGGGGTAAATTCTTTATGCATTTGGATACCAAAGAATGCTAAAACTTGCTCTTTACAAATTAGATGACACTATGCCTTAGATGTAACACTTCAGTCAGTGTTCTTAAGGATTTCCAACTTAAAACTGTTTTGGGGTATGTTATAAGGCCTACAAACAACAACTATCAAAACCACACTGACTAAGATAGTAGACTGTTGTATATTGAAAGTTATTCAATTTCTTAAGGTAACCTTTACACTCCTAAGTACTTTCAGACATCAGCCAGGCTGATGTACCCAAGCAAGTTATTGTCCAAAGGCCAGGACACAAATCCAAAATACACTGAAACTGAAAAAAAAAAAAAAATCCTGATTTTAAACTGAAAAAGTGGCAACCATTCCATGTAGTGTTGAAGATGCTGAATCTTCAAAATGGTTTTCTACTAGCACTTATTTTACTTGAGGTTATACCTCCTCCATTGCCTTTACCCACTTACTTTTGTTTGATATTAACTTTGATTGCAAAATTGTAATTAAAGACAGGGAAACTGTTGCTAGAAATGCTGCTGCTAATGCCAGATTATAATTTATCAACATCAACTCAAGTAACATCAACTGATACCCCAAGATGCACAGTTAAATCAGAATTGCATCTATTACCAGCTATAGGTACAAATTTGGTTGTGTAACTCCTCATTTATAGCAAATAAGTTAGTTGTAAGCTTACAAAATTGTTCTGTGTAATTGTTTTATTCTCCTGTATATATTTTGCTTCAGACTAAATTTAACTCCCAGTTACATCCTGGGCATGACGTGCTGTGGTATGGAATACCTCTTTGGTCAGTTTGGGTCACGTGTCCTGTCTCTGCTTCCTCCCAGCTTCCCCTCCTCCCTGGCAGAGCATGAGACTCACGAAGTCCTTGGTCAGACTAAACAGTAACTAAAAAATTGGTGTTATCAGCACTGTTCCCAGGCCAAAAGTCAAAAACACAGCACTGCACCAACTACTAAGGAGAAAAAATGACTGCTACTGCTAAACCTAGGACAATGCTGAACTAGCTTACCAACAAAAGCACTTACATTCACCTGAGCTTCACTCTGTGACATTGATAATTATTTTAGTTTGCCACTTCTTCAGTGTGTGATAAGATCCAAAATCCCATATTTTTTTCTATTCATGCTGTAGAGTGACTTCAAATATTATTTAAACTAAAAGACCACCAAGAGAATGAGCTTAAAAGCTGATGTCTGCTGCTATCTAAACCTCTATCTATCTGCAGTGTTCTGCCTCATCACACTATTCAGTCTCTTCCCACCAGTCTCTGTTTATACATCCAGTTACATTCAATAGGATGGCTTTCACAACAGTTATGATCTTGGATCTAATCAGGTGTAACTTTGGCCAACATCTTCCCCTACACACATGCCAAAACGTGTTCAAGGTATAAAAAGATAGACTGAAATCTTACTAATACCAAATAATTACATAAAATACATTTTTCATATATTAATAATTACAGTGTTCTTAAACAGTGAAAAAAGTATTCATTAAATGCATGTTCATTTGAAAAAATATATCAAACCCCACTATTTAAAGAATTAGAATGAATATTTCATTTTCTGTATGTTTTCAAATCAAGATTATAACATTAATTTACAAGTTTGTAAAGAAAAAAATTCTACTGTGTCAGATTCTTTTTTTTTTTTCTATTGTTTAACTGAAACAACTCTTTTTTCAAGCAGAAAATTATCAATAATTCTGGAGGGACAGGTACCAAACATGAAGTCTGACTGGATATATAACACCTCCCTGTTACTTATGTTAGGAACAGAACACAGTAAATTCCAGCCTCAACATCTAAATTGGACAGTATTAATTTTAATAAGTTCAGACCTCCAATTTTACGAATGTCTGCAGTAGAAGACATTAATTTTATCCCCACACCTTGGTTAATTGCTTGCAGTTATTTCAAAATATTTAACGTAGTCACTGCAAAAAGAGCTCCTTCAGCAAAATACATTTTTAAAAGCTATTTCTTCCTAAAAAGTTATCCTTTCTAATATAAATCCACCATTTTACTGATCATAATTACAAACTATAAAATTCAATAATCTTTCCATCTTTTTTTTTTTTAATTAATAGAAAGCCTAACCGTCAGCTGTCTGCAAATCAAACTGCAAAGTCCCCAGTTGTATACTACTCAGTATTTTCTTGTCGAACTTGGAAAATAGCATAGAACTACCTTAGTACAATCTGGAGGTAATATCAAGCAGGTTAAAGAATTGATTCTGGAAAGAAGAATAGGCTGCAAGATATGAAAAGGCCATAATTTAATCTCTTGAACGATTGAAGCAATGATCTGAAACAAATAGTATGAAATCCAATAATGATCTGTGCAGTGTACTACAATTAATTAAGAATAATTCATCTCACAAGTACTAGACAGAAAACTGGATAGATGGAAATTCTGCAGAAAAGGAACTGGATATAATGACAGCAAAGATGCATAAATAGGAGAGTTGTATCTTAAGCAGGTAGACTGATCCTTTCACTTCTATTCAGTTCCAGTAGTCTCACCTTGCATAAAAACCAGTAACTGGCACCAAACTTCAAGAAAGACACATATCAACTAACAGAGTTTACTAGAAAATAAAGGAGAGAACACAGAAAGACTGAAATGATGTAATTGTTTTACCAAAGGGGGGGGAGAGGGAGTAACGAAACAGAACATAATAATTTGTGAATACTCATAAAGTTACTACAGAAGCAGAAATCCACTGCGCACCACAATTTAGAAAAGAAAGGATGGACTTAAAATCTAGCAGATAAATTTCGGGTTATGTTAGACGATAGCAAACTCTTTCAAATGGAAATGAGTGGAAAATAGTGGCAGGTATTGCCTTAAGTGGAAAATGGACGATTTTCAGAGGATTTTACAACAGTCCAGGCAAACACCTGTCCAGTATACTACAGATATAATCAAATAGTCAATTAGTTTAGTCTTTGCACATGAGAATGAAACAGATTTTTTCTCCCTTTCCTACCTTCAGTGGTAGGAAAACTACTGAAATGGGTTTTTTTCATGTTTTGCTTTTATTAACTGATCCATCAGTATGCTTTATCTCACTGACTTAGTAAGTAAGTTGGTAACAGAGTATCTCTTTGAAGATAGATGGTAGCGTTTTCATTCAAAGAAACACCCCAGACAATGGATAATTGTATCAAGTTCCCAACAATCTCTGACACAGTTGCTCACAATGGTTATGAAGTAAGTCAAAACTGCCTCGATATCGCAAATGTATCCCACTTCTAACAGTGAAAATTAAATCTTTTAAACTGTTTGGCTCCTCTTCTGAAAAGCAGTTCTGAAAAGAAATTATACAGTCTTATACTGTATAGAC